GTTAAAATGTCCTTGTTTGCAAATGACATGATAGTGTACATAAAAAAACCCTAAAGAACCCACTCCAAAACTACTAGATCTAATATCTGAATTCAGCAAAGTTGCAGGATTCAAAATCAATATGCAGAAATCTGTGGAATTTCTATATACTAACAATGAACTAGCAGAAAGAGGAATCAGGAAAACAATTCCAGTCAGAGTTGCATCAAAAAGAAGAAAATACCTCGGAATAAACCTAACCAAGGAAGTGAAAGACCTATACTCTGAAAACTACAAGACACTCATGAGAGAAATTAAAGAAGATACCAATAAATGGAAACACATCCCGTGCCCATGGATAGGATATTGTCAAAATGGCTATCCTGCCTAAAGCAAGCTACAGATTCAATGCAATTCCTATCTGACGCGGTCCAGCCGCGCCTAGTCGAGCAGGTCCTGAAGTGCGGAAGGGGGGTGAAGAAAAGAAAGACAGACAGAAAGAGCTGGGAGGGCTGACGCTCCCACGTGTCGCCAGTAAAACTTTATTGAAGGTCCAGGGTTTATATAATGCAGTGGGGTTACATGATTGCAGGACATAGCATTATCCAATAGACAATCAAGCACAGTATTGACGTCAGCGGTAGCCAGGCAAAGGTAGGCTCAGCAGGGTTCCAGTTAGTTGCTCATGGAATGCATAAACAGAATGTTCTTTGTTCTCCATTCCGCCACATCCGCAAGTGGGGGAAGGGCATAGCCCGATCCCCACACTTATCAAAATACCAACAGCCTTCTTCAATGAACTAGAGAAAATAGTTCTAAAATTCATATGGAACCACAAAAGACCCCAAATAGCCAAAGCAATCCTGAGAAGGAAGAATAAAGCTGGGAGGATTATGCTCCCCCGACTTCAAGCTCCACTACAAAGCCACAGTAATCAAGACAATTTGTTAACACTTTAGCTACAACTGATAAATGTAACATTACTTTTCATGCAGGATAAAGCTGCTACCAACTAGGTATGGTTACTGGGCTTGCATTAGAAAAACTATATGGAGGAAATTACATGAACTGTCTGAAGTTTGCTGTGAAAACAACAAACTTTTATTAAAATAATTACAAGTCAGAAAACAACAATAAAAGGGAAATTCCACAACCTTTGTTTGCAACTATATAATCTTTATGTAGAAAAACTATAGTGACCATCTGGAAAGCAGCTCCACAATAAATGTAATCCTTACATCAAGAGGAACTAGAATAAGGAATCAGCTCACCCAAAAGAAACTGACTTGCTGTAGAGTATTTCAGGTGAGCAGATTTCAACTATATTATTCTTATTTCTGAAAAACTGTCTTTCCTGATATTTCAAATCACCAGGGATATGATGTACAAGCGCCTGCTGAGTAAAAGGATAAAACACAAATACCTGAGCACAATTACATGTGAAAACGACTAAGGCCAATTTTCTACGAATCTACAAAACTACATAAATAACCAATTACACACACAATCCATTTACACTGAAGCTCCATGAGGTGGTACTGAATAAACACTGAGGTGTTGAACTCTCAACAATGGAACATGGCTCGCTCTGAACAGCAGCACATTCCCACCTTACACTCTGTCATAACAACACTTCCCCTGGGATTTGTATTTGTGTATTATTATCTAAGTCCTAGGAAGGTGGTAACAAAAATAAAGAAAAAAGTCAGGAGGAAAATGAATTAAATACCCCCTTAAATCTATTCTAAAACATGCACGTAAAGTGAGAAACCAAGCACTGTGTGAGTTTTTACAGTCACGTCTTTTAACTTACTTGAATGATTTCATTACTATATGCACTGAATTTTCTGTTAATTTTTCCATTGAAATGTAGTAGAAGAAAATAAAGAGAAAAGCTCTCATTTCTTAAATGCACAGTCTTAGAAAGCAGTACTATTTATTTTTAAGAACTTTCTCTGCTAAAGATATCACACTGTTGTGGTAATCAGAATAGGTTAAGTCACTTTGGCAATACAGAGATTTATTTGCTCTCATTTTTAATAATCATGAACTGTTATCATGACTGTGTAATATTTTTATAATTTACACCACCAGAGGCAAATGTGTAGAAAATATATCTAAGAAACGTATATTAGATCATGACTGAAATTTCTTAAAAATATTTTCAAGTGCTTAAGAATATTAAAGTTTGGGGGGAAAAATACACAAGTCATGTAAGCAAGTATTTCCTCCAAGATTCTTTAATTGGGATAAAAGTCCCAGGGCAAGCCCACAGGGATAGTCTGCAAGAAAGAAAAATTAGGTCAGTGTATGTATAATTTCTGCAACTTCAGCAGAAATGGCAAAAACATTCTGAGCTACATAAAAGCATTCTTTCGGGTCAGGGCTTTTTGTTGTTTTAGTTCTTTAATCTCTAAATTCTGAGAGTGTTATAGTTTAGAAATGCTCACATTTCTAAATGTGAGCTACTAACAGTAATAAGAAACTACAATGTCAAATGAAAGATTCACAAACATAATCCTTTTCAATCATAGGTCTCTCTCTGGTAAGAAATAGACCACCATTTATTTACTTTCTCTCACCTGTAGAAGAGAGGGAGGTTAAATGGTATTAACCTGGTTATGAATCCCTGTGTACAAATGTGAGGTTAGAGAGTAAAGAGTTTAAGCCACACAACAAGAGCAGACAACAAAGGACTTCCTCTACATGTAACTATGATAGAGGAGAACTTTCAATTACAGAGCTGAATAGGGTTTTTCCTGTAACTAGAAGGCCATGCCTACAAATACTTCAGTCAACCTGTAAAAATTTTACTATCTAATTAAAAGTGTTATTTAGATAGGAAACAGATGAATAATACTAAATATTTTTTTTAAATATGGTAAAATATCTCTCCCCTTACAATTCACCAATTTTTTATCTGGTTCAACTTTCACAGAATCCATGAAGAGTCAAACAGGCTAATATTTTCTTGTTAAGTAAAACTGGAAACAACCTAACGATACCATTTGCAATTCCGGGGGGAAAAAAATCCAGTACAATCTAATATACACAAAAACAAACTTCACAGAACAGATACCCAATCAAACCTAAGCAATCCCCGCTCACCCACACAGAAGTAAGCCAGTCTTACTCACTTAAACAATGTTTGTTGCATCTGGATCCTGATTAAAAACTGCCATTGGAAAAATTCTGCAAATAAACACCCAAACCAGACCTAAAAATTTCTGCTCACTCCTGCTTCGCCATGTTACATTTTTAAGAGAGAAATAAATATTCCTTACAACTTGACTGGCAAAACCATTACCTGGCCAATTATTTCTAAGCCTACGCTGGATACCAACAAATGATGGAATGACCAAATCCCTAGCAACTCAACATTGTTGTCTTTGCAAAGAGAAGCAATTATACAAATTTTATTCTCCCAGGCAATGAACAGGAGAGAAAAATATTAAAAATGGCTGTATTTGTAATTTTTAAAAACCAGCACCAAATGTTCAAGTTTAATTACTCTCAGCAACATTTAGGAATTAACATTTCCTAACAATATGGGCAAACAAAAGAGTAAACGAGTAATGCATGGTGATAAGAACTACTACATAAAATAATCTGACTGGCTCATTTCTAAAGCTATTGGGGGTTTGCCCAGTTTGTGAATAGCATTCTTCACCTACGTCCCAAGTCATGGGTACAGCTTATTTTGTTGTGACTAGGCAAGATTAAGCAAAACAAACTGAGAAGATATTTTTAAAAAGCAAGCTAAGTCAAAATAATCCATTATTAGAATAGTTTTCTACTCTATTAAGGGGGAAATACACTCATCAAAAGACTATATAAAGTGCCTAAATGAAAAACTGAAAAGCAAGATTCACAAATAGTGGTAGTGTCAGTTCACATCTACATAACCCTTTATTACATTATATTTATAGCACTATTATGATCCATATTACACAAGGCTTATTTCTTCCTCATACTGTAGCAGTATTATTCCCATTATATAACAATTCCACTTCTGCAAAATTGTTTAAATCAACTTTTTGCACTTTGAATTTACAAACTATTGGATGTTAAATTGCCTGAAAACTACTTAAATTTTACGTAAAGCCAAACGTAAGTTTAAAAAAAAACAAAAAGCCCCCACAAAGGTGCTTTAAACAGAACCATGTAGAAATATACTGATACCAGTATTAGAAAAATTGCCTACGGAGGGCTATAGGGCTATAAATGTCATACAAAAATTCTATAGCTAACTCTTGCTAGAAAAGTTCTTTTATAAACAAACACCTTTTGTGATTGAAGATGAAATCAAAAGATGGAGATGCAATTTCTCCCTAAAAACAAGTAGTTGCTCAGGACATAGGCTGAGTGTATTGAAATTATTGCTTCTTTGAAAACAGAAAAAAATAGTTTAGCCAGGCATACCATTAACAAAAGACCATGCCATGTTTACATGGTCTTTTGATCTCTGGGTACTACTAGTATTATCCAAGAGAAACTTATCAAAGAAATTGGTTGGCAAACCTACCAAATAGGAGTCTCAGGTCCCTTAATTTTGATAGCCATCTTAGTCAATATAAAACTTTAGCTATTCAAACAACAAAGCTTGTAAAGTGCATTGGGTCTAAGAAACACAAAGAGCTAAACTCATTTAGTAGGACTTTAAGGGACTTGATGTCACCAATAGGGCAAAAAAACATAGTTTTCTGTTCAGATTTTATTTGAAATCTAATTCAAACTGTCAAAGCTACAAAAAGGGGAAAGACGTCTGTATTATTTTTGCTAAGTCACGACATCCTAAAACAAAATACCACTACTGCCAGCAGATCCACTATACACATTTCTGACAAAATTCATTAGCACAATAAAAATTTCATCTTGAGAAACAGCCACAATGGAGGTAATTTTTACAATATAAAACAATGAAAGGTCTACAGATGCAGTTACTCATGAGTTTACACATGCATTCACAAACAAACAAACAAAAACCCCAGGAATGCTCTTTCATTAGTTTGTTTTTTTTAAAAACAGACCATTCAGGCACAAAACAAACTTGCATTTCCAATAAGTGACAGCATCTTAAAAATATACATCAGTGTTTGTTTTTCTTTGACTTTTTATGAGACCTGTGAGGAGATTGGGACTGGGATCTGGATTTCTTCCCTGATTTTTTAGGGGATCTAGGCTGTGATCACCTAGATCTCTTAGGTGTCCTTGAGCCAGATGGTGATCTAAGAAAACAAACAAAAAGGATTTATCAAAATACTCATGTGATCAAACCTATCTTCAAATTATCTAGTGATCTTTAACAAAGCACAATGAAAGAAACTGAAATAAAAAATGCAAACTTCCCAAACCTATACTTTGCCAACTGTACACACACATGGATTTTGTACTTCCTATGCATTCTATAAGTGATCCTCAACAGTGTACTTGCTTAAGATAGATCTGGAACCTACCACTACTCTACTAAATCAAACTCTCAAGAGGAAGGGACTGGGGATTTGCATTTTTAGCAAGCTCCCCACGATACTGATATACCACGAAGTCAGAACCTCTAAATCTACCAGATAAAGCTCAAAATAAGATAATTCATAAAACCTAAAAAACACAGCAGATTGACAGCCTATCTTTTTGAGGGAGAAAGCACCAACCACAGCAACAACATTCAGGGAAATCATTTAGGACGGTGTGACTTTGTAAGTGCTGTTCAGGAAGATCACCAACACATACACATGTAGACGTACAAGTACCATTTAGAGAAGGAAAAAGTCTCCTATTTTATAAAGATTTTACTAAAAATGGTTACACTAATTAAGTTTTAGGATATAAAGCAGTTTTAGCTCTCAGGAAAATTCCTTTATGCAACACCAGATGAATAAAACATTTTGCAACCACTTTTCTGGAACCAGAAGAAAGTACATCACACACTAAATCCCACACTGAAGAAATGGTATTTATGGTATGTATTTCCACAAGTCTCTACCCAAGAACCTTCTAATAACATTGCTGGGCATGGGGGTAATGTATTTTTCTTTCAGCCTTGACAAAAATCGAAGAATATTCTATAGAAACAAGAACACAATGAAGAGTAAAGCAGCTGCCCCTAATTCCATAGGAAACAGTGAGTATGATATGTTTAAAATTCTTGGCTGGCCTTTACTTGTTGGGAGTCTTCTTGTGCTTTAATCATAAGGAGACTTGGATGGGGAGGTGGGAGGGAATAATCTAAAATGAAAGTACCTCTCCTTAGTTTTTCTAAAATCCTCTAAAGAATGGCTACCAACCAAATTATTTCCAAAAGCTGGTAGAATGACAAGGAGACTGGCATTTGAAATATTACAAAAAAGGACTTGCATTTACCTTTTGGCCTTTTTGCTAACATCTCTAGGAGAATCTTTGTGAGATGACCTTGACCGTGAGCTCTCTTTATGAGTTCGTTCTGAACGGTCTGACCGCTCCGATTTTGGTGATGGGGATTTCACTCGTCTACCACTGCTACTGCGAGACGGGCTTGGGGATGTACTGTGTCGCCTTTTCCTATGGAACAAAGCCCCCAAAACATTCCATAAGTGAACAAAGGATCAGGTATTCATTTTCCTTCTACTAAATTAGTTATTAATTCCTATTAGTTTACACTAACTTTAGTTTCACTAACCTTTTGTTAATGTTATTTTCCAACAACATCCAAAGCCCTTTATGCCAAGAACAAATAGATCTTAAAGATAAATTGATCAAGACAAAAACTGAGTTCAATGAAATTGGATTTTCTTTTGTTATGAGAGAGATTACTGGGACAGGACAAAATTTCCTCAAGGCATCAGACTAGATGGTAAATGTTTTAATGTTAATTTCCTCCTCTTGAAACTTTTACTGTGGTTATGTAAGAAAATGAGGCATTATGTTGGCAAACTTCTCTTAAATGGTTGGGGGAAGGAAGGGTAAGAAAATTAGGCAAAAATACATATAAACAATTGGGGAATGTGGGTGAAGGACATTTGGGAATTCTTTATACTATTCTTCTCTTGCAACTTCTCTATGAATCTGAAATTATATCAAAAAAGTAGTAAAAGACAAAAAAGTGATAGATTTATTATTTAACTGATAAGTATACCTATGCTATCTGTAACTACCTTTATATTGACTTAGCCAGAATATTTTTCTTTGCTTTCGCTTAGTTTTTATTAGAAAAACCTCAGTTCTGTTAACTGAAGCAATTTTCTCTCCTAAGTCAGAGGTTTAGGACGTGTGAAAAGAAGAAATAAAGACTAAGAGAGAAATGAATTTTGATGAGAATGAAGACTTAAAGTTAGGAGCAAGTCCCTATGGCCTCTGTACACAATATCCTTTTAAGACAGGACTGGGAGACTCATTTATAGGTAGCAGCCTCAACACAAAAAACGCTTATATTGCAGGCAACAAGGAAGATTTAGCGAGCTGTTAGTTATTTAACACTTAGATTTGATACCTAATATGGTAACTTCATTCTTGCACTAAACTAAGGCTAAGGTACCACGTGAACCATTTTAAGGGATGATGTCACAGTTAACTAAGCCAAGTGCCAACTAACTGCCCCATTTCCCAGCTAATTCTGCCTCTTACAGGCAGGAGACAAACATGTTTATCATGAAAAAATACTTTTCCAGTTTGTTGACATCAGAGATGAAAATATTACAAAATGAAACATCAATCCAAAATTTGAAACTAGAATAGGCATTAAATGAGAAATGTTTTACCTTTCTTTCCTTGTCATGGTACATTCATCTTTTTCCTTCTTGTCTTTGGGTCGAGATTCCAATTTTTCTTTACCTTTATCGCTTTCTCTTTTTCTTTCTAATTCTTTCTCTTTCTCCTTTTTTTTTAGAAAGAATATTTATAATTTTATTATAAGCCCCAGTCTTTCTTTCAGGCACCCCTGAAAGGTTGAAAAAAGAGAAAGTTTAAAGTTAAAAGGTTACTACGCACTGACAAAGTGTGGGCGACCTCAGAGAGAGGAGAGCACCGAAAGGCTGGGGGATTCCCCCTTTTAAGGCTTCTTAAGGAATGTGACTAAGGGCTGGGAGTGCAGACTTGTTCAATGGCCTTTGAATACTTACACTTAACACAAGGAACTTTCTGCTCCGATTTCACCCTGAGATACCGGCGTCCTGGTCTGGGAGCGTATTAAACACCTAGCCTGCCCAGCGCCCAGGGTGGGCTGAGTTATTGTCTGTTTGCTAAAGAGTAAGCTAAGAATCTTACTTTTAACTTCCTGGGTATTAAAATACAGTCTTTAAGATGGAATTGAGACAGGGACTATGGGATTAGGCAGAGTAGGGTGAGGGCCTCCATAGAAAAAGCAGAGCAAGAGCAGTCAGAACAATGTAACAATATGAAAAGAAGTCCCTATCAAAATTCTGTGTTAAGCATTATGCAAAGTCAGAGTCCCACTAATTCTCTAGGGTAAAGATTTCTATGAATAACTAGGAATACAGACATTCTCCAGTGAAATCACTTAAGCCTCAAAAGGCCAGGAGCAACTTGGCCTGGAATGTTTGAGTGTTCTGCAGATAAAGAAAAGTATCTCAGCATAAACAATCACTTAATTGTATCAACTACACCATGACAATCTAAAGTTTACCTTATCCTGCTAAAAGGCCCAGTTTATTTTTATTTATTTATTTTTTGAGAGGGCATCTCTCATATTTATTGATCAAATGGTTGTTAACAACAATAAAATTCTGTATAGGGGACTCAATGCACAATCATTAATCAACCCCATGCCTAATTCTCAACAGTCTCCAATCTTCTTGAGCATAACAAACAAGTTTTTACATGGTGAACAAGTTCTTACATAGTGAATAAGTTCTTACATGGTGAACAGTGCAAGCGCAGTCATCACAGAAACTTTCGGTTTTGATCACGCGTGAACTATAATCAATCAGGTCAATTATGATTATTCATTTGATTTTTATACTTGATTTATATGTGAATCCCACATTCCTCCCTTATTATTATTATTTTTTATTTTTTATTTTTTAAATAAACTGCTGAAGTGGTAGGTAGATGTAAGATAAAAGTAGAAAACATAGTTTAGTGCTGTAAGAGGGCAAATGTAGATGATCAGGTGTGTGCCTATAGACTAAGTATTAATCCAAGCTAGACAAGGGCAGCAAAACATCCACGGATGCAGAAGATTTCTCT